CTGGGGGGGGAAGGATGGGGGGTTTGGGGGGGGAGGGAAGTAAATATTTGTAAAAGCTTGTTTTTTAAAATTTTCAATTAAAAAAAACAAATAATAATTTCGGGGAGGGCTTATTTTAGCACATACGCTCAAAAGCCCAATTGGACTTATTATCCGGGGAGGGGTTATTGTCAGGGGAATGGGGTACTACAGTATTATGTTCTTCATTTAATAAAATTTTAGATTTTAAATACTTTTCTCTATTACAGTATCATCAACAAAAAATTTTTTTAAAAAAAATCCAATTTGTCAGAGACACTCACACAAAGTTCTGGAAGCAGGACCATATCGATACCTTATTCCATAAACAGACTGCAAAGCATTTACAGCATTAACAGCTGCAGATTCCTGGAAGATGACGAAGAAAAAAGAAAAATCACCCCATGCATATTAATTATATTCTTATAATGAATGATATAGGACAAAGATTACCCATTTTTTTAATTTTATCCTTCACAATTTATTGCATCTTGTGCCCTCTACTGCTACCTTTGTTACCATAAATGAATTTTTTTCATGAATATCCTTGCTTAAAGTTATACCTTTCTGGTTATATGCATATCATTCATTATGAAGATCTATATATGAGAATATTACTTCAACATCAGCATAATAGTATTGGGACATGCCATCTCATGCCCTACTGTCATGTATTAAGAAGCAACTAGATCCAAATTAGACTGTGGCATTTCTCTGTGGCATATATGTGGATATATGCATAATTTTGTATTTATTTATTTTGTCATGTTTATATAGTGTATATTGCAGGTGGAGACCCTCTGAGAGCTGTATGCAACAAAATTTCATTTTAATGTATGCCAATTAGTGTACATTCAAAGTGACAATAAAGTTATTCTAAGTGCAAGTCTAAGCTTTTCTATCTCCTCTTTTAGATTACATTAAGATGACTGCCCCACAATACCAAGGACATTCAATTAATTAGACTAAAGGGGAGACTGGCTACTTGTTTTAATATTCCAGCTCACTTTTAAATGTTACATCCTAACCAAGTTTAACAAGAGTATCATTCTCCCTATGAGAACTACAGGTTTAAGGTATTATCTCATGCAATAATTTGTTTTCAAAATATTGTATACACTTTAGCAATCAATCAAGCCTGAAAAACAGTTCCTCTGTTGTTTTTTTCCTGTGGTGCCATGAAGATATATATATAGTATATAGATAAAGTTATGTATAGGAACTCTTTGGATAGTTTCTTGTGCCAAACACTAGAACTCGAAACAATATGAAAGCCAGTTTGGTTTAGTGGTTAAGGCACCAGTCTAGAAACAGGAAAACTGTGAGTTCAAATCCCATCTTAATCATGAAAACCACCTATGGGTAGGTGACCTTAAACTAGTCTCAGCCTAACCCACCTCAAAGCATTGTTGATGTGGCAAAAATAGGAAGAAGAAAATGTATTAGATGTATTCGCTGCATTGATTTATTCATAAAAATAATAAAGGGATACAAACAAACATGGTATTCCAGGATACAAGTCTTTTAATATGCAGGTTTATTACAAACAAACAAACAACGAAGTATTTATGAAAGAAATCCAGTGACTGCTATATATCAAATCCAAACCAAACCTTGTTTGTAGTGAATTTCAGATACAAATGTTTGCATCTTTTTCCCCCTGTAAATGCAGTACATTTGGTTTGAAAAGCCTCTTTAGACCACAGAGATGCTCGCTACCTGTCCCTTGTTATTATATTTTTCAGGCTACTTATTTCTGAGTTTTCTAAACTAGCTTTTATACTTCAGTTTTGATTATGGGTATGAACATTATTTTACTAGAGTTTAATGTATTTATAATAGACTACACTTAAAAATAAGAAAATAGAATTGTTTAAAAGCAAAGGATTTGCAGAGAAATACCGGTATGTTACAGAATTTACTTTTTAAAATTTTATTTTATTTTATGTATCAAATTTATGTAACTGCCCATCTCAAGGGGAAATTACTCTGGGAAGCATGTGAAATAGTTAAAATGATAAGCTGCTAGACAATTCAAAATGGTAATTTTTACAGCATGATGCTCTAATTATACAATATATGTTACTTAAAATAATGTGAAAATATGTATGCTGGCTTTTATATTTAAAAAAATCACTAGAAATATGCAAAGACTGTACAAAATGATAATTTACTTTGTAACTGGTTGTACCACCCATTAAACAGTCTTCTAATATGTTTTCCCCAAAATAAGACAGGGTCTTATTTTCTTTTTCCACCCCCAAAAAAAGAAGGCCTTATTTTCAGGGAGGTCTTATTATTTTTGAGGTGCAGGAGGCAGCGAGTGTGGTCACCTCATGGCTGCTGCTGTGTTGCAATATTTTTGGGGAAGGCTTATTTTAGCGCATGTGCTCAAAAGCCCAATTGGGCTTATTATCCGGTGTGTGTGTGTGTGTGTGTGTGTGTGTGTGTGTGTGTCTTATTTTCAGGGAAACAGGGTACTTCTTAGTATTGATCTAAGAAGATGCTTACATTTGCTTCCCTTTAAAAATTAAAAAAATATTGCATCATATGCTAAAATTAATTAGGAAGAAGCAATATCATTAATGTTTCATAATATTTATATTTATAAGCTTTGAACACTTATTTGAATATGAATTCCTGTCAAAAAGATTCTTAATTCTGTTCATTTTAGAGGGAATTTATCTGTTTTAAGAATAGTAACTTTATGTGCATATTGTACTCCATTTAATATTTATACATTGTCATGTGAAGGCTCATAGTTTTGAAATATGCTGACAAATGCATATAAAATATAAATCTTAACATTTTCTATTCATGATAATCGATTTATTTTGTATAACTTTTTCTCCTAAATTGTTCAGTGTTTAGCACTGTTACACTGTAATTACTGTTATGAAGTAATTATTAAGATTGTTCTTTTGTTACTGTTTTTAGAAGCAAAGTTATTTTTTCTACATTTGAACCACTGGGTATGTTAAAATGTTAATAATGTTAATGTTTGTTAATGGTAACATAATGTTAATGGTAAAGTTAAAAAATCTTTTCCTAATGTTCATAAAACAATGTGACAGCAAACGAATGGATACAAGATATAATTGGGTGAATATACATAATTAGGGTAAATACACACTTTGTTACAATATTCTGTTGGGTAAACTTCATTGGCTCAGTTGCCATACAAATAACCCATATGGCATGGTTTGGAAACCTGAGGATTATTTGCATATGCCATATTAAGAAAAATCAAATACTGTACAATTGCTTAGTTAAATGTGCGAAACCAATCGCTGCACCAGTGTCTAATCAAAACGCATTTGTTCAATTCTCATTTATTCCAATGAGTCGATACAATCTCTTAACTCAAGAATCAAAAAGATTTCCCAGCCTGCCCTACTATATCTTAAAATGCAGCCCCTCACACCGTCTCTGAACAAAAAAAATCATTGAATTCAGTCCATATACCCAAAGATCAATGAATAAAAAACTGCAGCAATAAACCTGTAACTATAGCAACTACATTGCTACCCTATTTCTCATCTCTGTTTTCCCCTTCCTCTATTTCCTTTTTACTGAATTATAAACTCAGGGCAAAACTATGGGTTCTTAAACTTTATAAAGTACAATATGCTGATGCAGCTATATAAACAATTAGGGGGACTAAAAATGTAGCTATAATGGGAAGTGAAGTAGCACATGATTTTTTTTTAAACTAGCTTTGACTATGCTGCAGGGTAACACTTTTGTTCTCAAGAAGATATATATTCTAGGCTTCCAAATGGAGATTTGCCTGCAGTTCCACATCTGTGGGATGAGAAGTGCACTAAAAATTACTGACCTAAATGCAAAATTCACTTTTAATTTGGACAGATTCCTTCAGTGGTTATATGAGCTGAGTTGAAAAGAACTCAGCAGTTGTTCTGAATCCCAGGTCTTTGTAAAAGGGGAAATGGGAGCTATGCAGCTTTGGGCTTCACAGTGTGATACTGATACAACTGATAGCAAAAACAAAAACTTGTTTTTCAGTTTTGACTGTCACTGTTTTTATTTTGAGGAAACAGCTTTTTGTGCTATATTTAACAAGAATAACTTTAATGTTGCATGGCCTTAGAAATACCTTTGCTGCTGATTCTTTACCAGACTCTTATCTCAGATAATATTGTATATACAAATTGCAACGAGCTCTAATAGCATCCTTTTTTAAATTGTAGTACACAGAATAACTTTACATATTGGGCTAAGCAATGGTTTATTTTAACCATAGCTTACTGAGTTGGCTTACAGTCACAATGACTGCATTGTGCTCAAACCAAAGATGCTATATCATAAGGTAAATACACTGTGTGTCATAGATCATGGTATCTTACATGACTGTAGCAATTGAATGAAAACTTCCCAATAACTAAAAACTGAAATAAACAAAAGAATATGTCTGCACTAGATAACACGTACAATGAGAGTTGTATATCCCTTTCTCCAATTCCAAGACCTAAATAATTTAACACATTAATTCAGAGAGTGACTGGTAGCACAATTCTGTGTTGTAAGCTGGATAGAAGCCTGTTTGTCTTCAACTCACAAATTATTAAAGAATCCTCTCCTTGCTAGATGATAATGTCCATGGAAAAGCTTTCTTCTGGCCAACATTGACATAAGATAAATCTGAGGACCTTGTGAAATTGGTCGCAAAGGAATCAAGAGAAAGAAAATTTCTTTATGATCTTGCTTTGCTATTCAATGCAGGTTGCTCCATACTGTATATAAATTGAAACTGTATTTTGTTGACTTCCCTGTATAAGTGCATTGTCAGTTAGGGATTTCTTATTTGTGCAAATGTTCTCAATATTTGATTGTGACTTACTCTCTATTATCATGTTCCTTCTGTCTGCCCAAAGGCTTAGAGTAACAAGCTCTTGTGACTTTTTTTAATGTTTGAGCTTTGCTTTCCTGCTGCAGGCTGCATATGCATAGTGAGGTACTGTTTAGTTCCTGCAGAGTAGTACATTTTTAAAATGTTGGTATATAAGGATTGCATTGGTTCGCCCATTGTTCTGATGAGACCCATCTCTGGAAAGGGAATATTCTGTTGATTTTGCAAAGAAGGTGAAAACAGTTTACACACTGAGAAGGTTGGTCTTGTGTCAAGCCATGGAAAGTCTTGAAATGGGAATAAAAATGTTGTTTTCTTACCCTTTTTTTCCTTACTCCATACATGTTATGGGAGATCCCAACTATATAGTTCTCCATGCTTGAAAGAACATTTAAGAAATACATTGTTTCTTCCAATTTCACAATTGAAAAGGAGATCAAAGGATCATAGTGGCTATGAGTAAATTCTTATAATATGAGCTTTTTCTCCATCAGGAAAGAGTCAGAATTATGGATGTTTGTGTATTTGTGTGAGTATACTGTGTGTGTATTTATTAATAATACAAATGAAATAATACAAATTTGCAAGATACATTTCCTTTCTGCAGGGTATCTCCTTACATGTTTTAGAATGATCCAGTTGCTTCTGTGTGGAAAATCTTTTATACAGCCCAATGATCACTGTATGGTAGGCATAATGCACACATATGGGCCATAACATATTGGCTATTATACAGAATAAGATTCCTCTTTCTCCTTCACTTTATTCCTCTCACTGTAATACTGCAGATTTACAATGATTGAGTTTACATATCATGTTAAGCCATTATTTTTAAGTAAGCCACAATATGGCTTACTATACAATAAGCTGGAGCTAAAATCAGTTTATCGACCATGATACAGTAATTGGATTTTGGTGTCTTGTATTACAACCAAAATCAATCCAACCATATACAATATTGACATAAAACAATGTGTGAACTAACCATTATATGTCAATGCCATTGCCATTAAAATATATTCACTTGTCCTGTCTCCCTGAAATATGATTTGATCTTTCAAAACCACTATCCCTTAAATCATTATGGAATGTATTTGTTGGAAAAATTAGTAACTAATACAGTCATTTGAAAAACCTAATTTTCAATATTTTTGGCTCAGCTAAAAATAGCTGAGTTTTCCCTCTCCTCCACACCAACTCTGTTCCCTTATTTTGGATAGGACAACATACATTTGAATTCTTATGAGGTTTCTAATTATTCATTTGCAAAGGAGTGGGACTCAGAAGCACATTCTCTTCACTAAAACAAAAGGCATAATTGGCATGCAAACATGCAGAATTCTTTGAATTCTATACTTACCACACAACTAAAATTTAGAATAGCTGCATACTTGTAAGAGTATGGATACAATAGCATTTGGGCATACGCATGAAAGGACAAATAGGCTTTCATCTGAGTATGGTGTTTGCGAAGAAAATGAGCAACAGCCTTCACTTCTGGTTCAGATTCAGGGAATGGACCACAGTATGTGTCATCACAGGGATGAAGGGAAGCACCTTCATCTATATGTTAGAAGGAAAGAAATGATGATGATCCACACAAAGTTAAACCTAACAAAAACATGGTCATAGCGCACACATATAATACCAGACTGGGGTTCTGTCTTTTGAACATATTAAGAAATTAAAATAATCTATCTTGGACCAATGACAATGGACATAATCCCAATAGTTCAGAAAATATTTTGATTCCAAGGTGGCAAGTTTTGATAATGATGACAGGATAAGGCAGAATAACAATTTCATAGGAATAGAGATTTTAATCTTTTTTGTCTGAAATTTAAAAGGCCTTTAAAGATGAATTAGTTGTACTACAGCACAACACATTTATTTTTCTTATTTTCCTACCAAAAAGAAGTGGAAACTTATTTTCTTCTTATTTAGTTTATTGCCTAATTCCATTGATAAGATTATTCAGGAACCAGAAAAAGATACTCCAAGGTTATATAAATTGTCTACCATTGTTCTAATTAAACAAATTTGGCTGATACAATTCAAGTATTAAATCTCACGTGCATATAATTTTTTGAGCAGAAGAAAGGCATTCTGTATGAGTCAAAAGTTATTTTCCCAGTGGGCCAAGAAATAAATTAAGCTGAATTGGATATTGTTTAAAACTTTGATTACAGCTTCAGCACTCATGTAAATTAAGAGTAGAAGTGGATGGACCTTTTATTTGAGCCAACATGATTCTTTTTTATGAATGATTTGGTTATGAGAAAAATGTAATCTATCTTCTGATCAACAATTTAGGAATATCCTTAATCAGTAATGGATCTGCTTCACATGAGAAATACACATGCATAATAGTACAGCAAATTTTCTTGTGTTTTGACAACTGTTCATTATTCTTGTCAAAATATTCCTCACATAATATCTTCAGTATTTAGAAAAATGAGATGAAACATTCCACAATTTACCTAATAACGAAGTATTATGTAACTATTATTACAAAGTTAGCTTGATCCTTATTTTTTCAACTAAGCAGCATTTACTATTAAAAGAAACAGTAGAAACTCCAGTAACTTGTAACTAAAGATGTAGATTTGCTGTCCCATATGTATTATTTACAAAAAAGGGCTCTATTCAGGAATAAGGAGGCTCTGACCTCTAGATTTTACTATTAAAAGCAGCTCTAACCAACTGGATAAATGGAGAAATATAGTTTTCCTTTCCTGATAAAAAGAAATGGAGATTTAGAGGTTTGTCAAAGCTGTGATATTTTGTTAATTTATTGCTAATTGGTTTGTCCTTGGTTGCCATTATATATAAGGTATTTATTTTGTATTTGTATTCTGTTACTCTAGACAGAAAAAGAAAACAGAATTGCCAAAATAGTGCTGCCTTAAAAATTAAAAAATGCAAAGCAAAAGAAAAGAAAAGAAACATCAGGGTTTTGAGTCCTTTAATTCTCCAGAAATGGATTCTCATTTCTGTTTCTGTGCTATGCTAAAATGTCACTGTCTCATACTTATTTGTCTGTGCAAGTTAGGAACTGTAATTAATTGGAGCTTGGAACTTATTTCAAGCTGTGTTCTAAAATTATTTATTATTAATTTGGAACTCCCCATCTGTTTATCTGGATCCATCGTCTTCCACATGAACTTTTCATTCAATAGCAGAGTTGGAAGGGACCTTGGAGGTCTTCTTGTCCAACCCCCTGCCTAGGCAGTAAACCCAATACCATTCCAGACAAATGGCTATCCAACATCTTCTTAAAGACTTCCAGTGTTGGGGCATTCACAACTTCTGGAGGCAAGCTGTTCCACTGATTAATTGTTCTAACTGTCAGGAAATTTCTCCTCAGTTCTAAGTTGCTTGTCTACTTGATTAGTTTCCACCCATTGCTTTTTGTTCTTGTTGCCTTGGAGAATAGTTTGACTCCCTCTTCTTTGTGGCAACCCATGAGATATTGGAACACTGCTATCATGTCTCCCCTAGTCCTTTTCATTAAACTAGACATACCCAGTTCCTGCAACAGTTCTTCATATGTTTTAGTCTCCAGTCCCCTAATCATCTTTGTTGCTCTTCTCTGCACTCTTTCTAGAATCTCCACATCTTTTCTACATCATGGGGACCAAAAATTGAATGCAGTATTCCAAGTGTGGCTTTACCAAGGCATTATAAAGTGGTATTAACCAGGGACGTGCAGTCAGGGAAGGCAGGGCCTCACCATTGTCATCATGAAAAGAAAAAAAATGTAAAAGGAAAAAGGCTGAGGTAGTTGCTGCCAGAGTCACAGTGGATGACTCTGCTTATTGCTTAACTGTGTACAAAAGCCTCTAAAAAGTGCCCTCTACAGGGGGTGGCAGGAGAACGAGGTGCCTCATTTAGTCTGACTATGATCACTCGAGCAGAGCTAAGCAAGGGTTAAAAGCCGAAAAATTCCTTATGTAGATGAGGCACGTGGTTCTCCTGCCTCCTGTAGAGGGCATTTTTAGAGGCTCTGGGAGCAGCTAGCTCAGTCTGACCTCAGAGCTCATGCCTTTTTCCTTTTACATTTATTTTTCTTTTCATGATGGCAGGCAAGAGCAGAGTTGAAATCCTCTCTGAAACAGCTGGAAAAGGTGCGTGTGTGGGGAGGGGGGAGAAATTCAAAAAGTTTGATTGCATGCAGAGCCACGTTGCCTTTTCAAACACACACACACACACACACACACACACAGCTGGATGAAAGTATATAAGCCCAGCTTCACTGATTACAAGTTTGAAAAGGCAACGTGGCTCCACCTGCAATCAAAGGCTCGGATTGGAAGGCAGCAGTGGAATGTGGGGGGTATGGCAGAGGAGCTGCTTTCAAGCCATTGGAAAATATATCCAATCCAACTTCTGTGTTTGTGTTTGTGAGTGAGTGAGTGAGAGAGGGATCTAACTTCTCTGTGGGCATGTGTCTGTTTGAGAGATGGGGGAGGGAGGAAGGAGGGAGAGGGAGAAGAAAAAGAATGAAGGAAAATATTTCACAAAGGAGAAAAAATGCTGTCGCTTTAAATCGGAACTGAGCATGCCTGGCTGTGGAATTCTGGGAGTTGAAGTCCACAAGTCTAAAAAAATTTGAAACCCCTGTGTCAGTGCCTCACCAGCCATAAACCTCACCGCATGTCACTTGTATTAACACTTCACATAATCTTGATTCTATCCCTCTGTTTATGTAGCCTAGAACTGTGTTGGCTTTTTTGGCAGCTGCTGCACACTGCTGGCTCATATTTAAATGGTTGTCCACAAGGACTCCAAGATCCGTCTCATAGTTACTACTATTGAGGAAGGTACCACCTATACTGTACCTGTGCATTTCGTTTTTGTTGCCTAAATGTAGAACCTTACTCTTTTCACCATTGAATTTCATTTTATTAGATAGTGCCCAATGTTCAAGTTTGTCAAGATCCTTCTGTATCTTAAGCCTGTCTTCTGGAGTGTTGGCTATTTCTGACAGCTTGGTGTCATCTGCAAATTTGATGAGTTCCCCATTTATTCCCTCATCCAAATCATTGATGAAGATGTTGAAGAGTACTGGGCCCAAAACAGAGCAGGGGAACTCCACTGCATACTTCCTTCCATGTAGATGCAGTTCCATTGAGGACTACACGTTGAGTGCCGTTGGTCAGCCAGTTACAAATCCATCTGGTTGTGATGCTGTCCAACCCACATTCTTCTACTTTATCTAGTAGTTTGTTACGTTTGCTAGTTTATCTACTTGTTTGTTAAGCTCTTTCTTGGAGCTTACAGATTGGCCTGCTGAGAGGATACTCAAGAATGAATGATTTTGAATAATTTCCAAAGTCATATTTCTCTAGTGTTTTCATTACTATATTTTAGAAGCTAGCAAAAGTCCACCTTGTTTTTAAGATTTAATAATTGTTCTCCCTGAAAATTAGAATTATTTTTAACCATTTCTATTTTTAGCATTTAAAATTCTTATTATTCTTTAGATATTGTTTTAGCTGTTTCAAAGTCTCAATGTGAGATGTAGGATATGAAAAAAATATTTGTAAACAGGCCAAAGTTTGGATGTTTATTTGATTGGGAAGCCAGTCTGATCAAAAGTAAAAGTTCCAATGCCAGAACTAAGAGACAAAGAGGGATACTATAGTCAAAAATAAAAAAAGGGATTTGATCCTGAAATAATACCAACAATATCATCAAAATCCAAGTTACATATTTGCTGTATATTTACCTGAATTATATACACATTGTTAATTTAATTGGCCAATGATAAAAGATCTATTTCTAGACTTACCACACCATTTTACTTTCCAGTTACGATTGGCATCTACTCCATGGCAGTGAAACTTTGAATTCTTTGATCTTGTTTTCCTCCAAAATCGATCCTAGGCATAGATTTTTAAATATAAAAATACAACATATATACAGATAAAACTATGCTATGCTTGTAACAAATCTTTTCACAGAGAGTGAAGTTAAATATTTAAACCTTTTTTTCCAAACACACTTCTTTAATATTGATATTCTTAGTATTTTTCATTAATACCCTCGTGTTGAATTATTTCTTACCTGAGTCCAGCTAAAATGATATCCATCCACGTTAAAAATAGGCATGATAAAGAAATACAATTGATTTAGCATTCTTCTCATGGCTGAATCATTTTGATATGTCTGAAGAGCCTGGTACATAAAAATAGTTGAAATAATATGTGTAGTTCAGAAATTTTGTAATGTGATTTTTTTTCAGAGATCCTAGCCAATTTTTAACCTAATAAAATAACTGTCAATGCAAGTTTAAACAACAATCAATTGATTAGGCTCCTATTTCTCAAAACATTTTTTGTTCTTATGGCACTAATTGTGAGAAAAGATTACTACTGAGCTTCTGACACTAGCTAATCTCCTTCCTTGGGTACCAGTGAGCGACCATCACATCCAGTCAATTTCCCTTGTTTAAAGGCCAGGTTAAAGAGAGAGGACTTCATGACTCTTCTAAATAACAGAGTAGGGACAATCTGGATCTCAGGGAGAACCTTGTTCCTAAACACTGAGAAGGTACACTTCCAAGATACTGAGAGTTAACATTATTTATTTGAAGGAGCCCAGAGCATACCACTCTTGGCCATCTACTTTTTTAAAAAAAATTCTAACTTTTCTAAAAATGTGCATTAGTTTTTATTTTTGTTATGAAAATCTTTAATAAAGTTACTATTAAGAAAAAGGAATATTGGTTGGCAGCTGTAGGAGAGTGACTGGCAGAGGGAGGATTCCAAAATGATGGCTCATTTAAGTCTTCCCCCTGGCTGTGCCAGTCTCTCTTTCTCCCACAGCAGCTTGGCCAATGAGAAAAGAAAGAAGCTGGCAGTTTCATCAATGAGAAAATTGCTGACTTGTCTAGGGAGTGTCTCAAGCCTCAAAATTGAACAGAAGGAAGAAGCAGCCTGGATTTAGACAGGCCAAGTTGGAACTGTATAGTCCATGACGAGGAACTGAGCATCCAAGAAGACAGCCAGAGAAATTGCTACACAAAATTTTTGCAGTCAGAACTGTTGCTGTGGGCACTTTGCAAGGCAGGAGCAGAATCAGTTTGGGTCAAATAATAGAGAGCTTTTGAAATTACATACATTTAAGGAGACTGTGTAGTCTCTTGCATAGAAATTGAATAAGCCTTTCTAGAAGACACAGGGAGATTCATTCCCCACTTCAATATCTTGCTATCATTTAACATCATTTACATATCCATGAGATATGTAAATAATGTTAAATGTCCATCTTAGTGTTTTTCTAATGCAACCAATGAAAAGTTTGGATTTTTCTTTATTGTGGTGCCCACCCCCAACACCTACATCCAGTTGGAGATATGGCAGCAAGTGTGTTTAAAGTAAATGATACTGACTGACTAACACTTAGGAATCTCTGGTGGAGAAACAGGACGGAGAACTGCATACTGGACAACTGACATGTAAAAGATATTTTAGTCCTCAGAAGAAAGGAGAAAATGGGAAACATTTCAGAAGGGACTCTCGCTAGTATTCTGGAGAGTAAAAGGAAAGGAGGTGAGAAATATTTTCAGTCTTGCACTATAATATTAACATAAGCTTGTAATAAAGATAGTACTACTGGTTGTGTTTCTTGCTTGAACTAACAGGGATCCAGTTTCTTGAACTCTTAAAAATAGCTAGACATGTATTTTTATGCTGCCTTTTCTAAAAATTCCAAATAGCTCAGAATAAAACATGTTATATTCAAAGATGTTCAAACAAAATAAATAAAATACATCAAGTCAACTCAGAACTAAAATAAAACTACCTTAGCATGCTTCTAATTGCACTCTTCACCTTAAGGCCTGTTGGGAAACCATAGGTTTCACTACTTTATAAAATTATAACTGTGAAGGGAGAGATGTTATTCCAAAATGAAGAAGGCCTGTTTCCAGCTCCCCTTCCCTTTACTTCTTATGCAGAAGGGATTCTCAATTTGCCCATTTATCCAGACTGGACAAACGGCATCTGCCTCAGACTGTCCCCAATGGAATGAGGATCTAAGATAAAGAATCATTGCTAAAGAATAATAACCAGAACTTTGTTTGGAATCTGGAAGATTTTGGCCAATAGATTTCCAGCAAGGTAGGTATTCCTCTGCTGTATTTGTGTGTTCATGATATTTGTTTGTTTGTTTGTTTGTCTGTCACGTTTATATGTTTGCCCATCTCAAAAAAGTGACTCGGCAGCATTAGCAAGCATATTTTAAAAGACTAAATTGGTGAAGGTGCTTTCTGAACTTTTCAGTTGATAATAGCAACTGCAGAAACTAACACTGCAGCATTCTTCATCCAGTGAAAAACAGGAATGAACTATTTTTAAGGAGGAAGAATTTTCAGTTTTATTCTTTTAGCTTACTAAAAGAACAGTGCTCGCCTTAAAGCCAACAAATCACTTATCTTGATAGAAGATAATGTAATTTAATGTACTTATTAGTTACAGTAACTGAGCTCATTATTCCAGACATCCAATTAGCATCTTGCACAAACTCCAAATTTCATTTAAGTAAGCTATTGCTCAAAGGCACTGCAAACATCTGTAGTTATATAGACAAACATGACTAGCATGCCTCCTTGTGGGGATAATGTTGTACTGCACCCTGATTTTGAAGAATATGCATAATAAATTAACATACGACAAGCATATAATGTGTCTATATCAAGAAAATCAAGGGGATATGTATGGCTCTGCCCTTCTCTATTATTTAAAATTACTTTGAAATAATTATCACCAGTCAACAGTAGAAATGTGTACCTCCATTTCCTTTATACCACTGTTAAACTAAAAACCTGAAAAGGACCACAACGGGAAACAACACCCACCTCTCTTGGCAGAAGCATTGGCACATAAGTCAAAGACAAACAAGATCTAAACTACTAACTAACTAAAATAAAAAAAACTATAAAATGGAAATACAATGAATCTAGGTAAGACAGGTAAATGAGTTATGTAAGATCTATATTTTTTTCATCAGGGACATGGAGGCTCAGTGGCTAAGAAGCTGAGTTTGTCAACGAGAAAGATTTGCAGTTCGGCGGTTTGAATTCCTAGTGCCACGTAACGGAGTGAGCTCCCATTACTTGTCCCAGCTTCTGCCAACCTAGCAGTTCGAAAGCAAGTAAAAATACAAATAGACAATTAGGAACCACCTTTAGTGGGAAGATAACGGCAGTCCATGCTCCTTTGGCATTTAGTCATGCCGGCCACATGTCCACGGAGACATCTTCAGACAGTGCTGGCTTTTCGGCTTTGAAACAGAGATGAACACCGCCCCCTAGAGTCGGGAACAACTAGTACTTATGTGCGAGGGGAACTTTTACCTTTACCTTATTTTTTTTTTCAATGAATATTTTTTCTTAAGTGCTAGAGATCTTTTTAGGCCATAGTCAATTATTTTCCAAATAATTTATTTATATATAATACAATTATTGAAATCCTTATAATTGAGAGTAGACAATAATGTTGAACTATGCAATATCAAAGCCACTGCTTTTCTTAGTTCTCAACAACTTTTATCTTTCCAAATGCAAAACATATTAAGAAAAAACAGACAGACTATCCTCAAGTAATGGAATTCTTCTAAGTAAAAAATAAATATAGGAAAAATCAAAAGACACTTCTTAATCTCAATTGCTCCTAATCTTTTAAACATGTGTATATCATACTTCACAAGAGAACACCTTGCAGCTTCTCATTTATATTATAACACCTTCTAGAATTTCCTAACTTCAAAAATAGTTATCTGCTGTAGATAGACCCTGTACCACATTTATTCAATTTTGTGAAAAGATAGGATATAAATATAGTAAATGAAGTCCTTAATAAACAGAGAGATTTATGCTGCTGCAAATCTCTGCACTGCCCAACCCAGACCAAGCAATTGGACAAAGAAAATTAAGCTTATAAATTTATTTGACTGAAGTTGGGAACTCATTTCATCAACAACAATATTCTTAATGAGATTATTTTTATGCTCTTTATTATCTTTATTTTCTGTGAATTTGTCAATAATAATCAAATTAGAGATTTATCAATAATTGTCATTAAGACAGGGAGATTATAACCTAGGTTGCACAATTTTATTCTTATTTAGCAAAGACTTTTTAAATGCAAGTATCATAGTGCTAACAAGATTTTCACCAACTGTAAGGTTGAAATATCATAGATATAGATATCCAAAGCCTAGTTAAATATCGTAACAATTCACCTCTGCTTTGATAACATACTTTGTATAATAGACAGAACCTTTCCTGATTTCAAAATATGATGATAGTTTTTTAAAAAATATCCTTACTTCTTTCACAAACCATTGGCAAAAAGCTGGAGTGATCCACTCTCTTGCATGAATTCCACAGTCAATCCATACAGCTTTCTTATAAACCCTTGTTCTTTTGCCTAGCTGCAATTGTAAAAATACATGCATGAGAAAAAGAAAATTATGGATTTTAAAAAGTTGAAGCACGTGTTCTTCCAATGACAGGTGGCAACTTAGTGAAATGTTCCCCTTTTTAAAGGATGCTAAACAGAATGTGGAAATACTGTATTAGAAGTACATCCCCCTTAGTTTAATGTAGTTTCCTATATCTTTCGTTTCTGAGTTTGTTATCTTACAAAAATATGTACTTTCATTTTACAATAGTTTCAAGAGAACAACATACTATATTACTAACCTATGTTTGACCTGTATTTTGTATATTTTTTCTCCCTCTTGCTAAGTGGAGAGATTGCTTGAACAAGCTTTCTCTTCCTCAACGGCTTTTCTCTGTGGTGCCTCCCTAATAAGCACTAACCGGACGCTAACAGGCTCCATTCCATGACCTTAATAAATAAATTAGTTACTCTACCCTGGCTCAGGCTGCTGGCAAATCTCTGCTTCAACCTTGGTAAGTTAGTAAGTGACAGCTTTCCCCTCCAGATTTGAAGAACCATGAACAGGTAGCATCAACAAGATTTGGTGCAGTCAGCATCTGTCTTACAGATGGCAAAGGTCAGCTGAGGTCGCAGGGCCAGTAGAACACAGGGTGATGTTCTACCACAGTGCAAAACACTTGGGTTTTGCACTGTGGTGCTAGAGTGACCATTCACTGCACAGGGACTGAGGTGCAAGTCCTCAACAGATCTAGTGGCCCTAGTGGCCCGAGATAACTGATGAGGACAACCACTATGCAGGACGGTTGAAAGATCAGAGATGAGGATGAGAGCAATTTAAGAGGAGTCAGGCTTTCTGAGGCTCGGGGCTGGAAAGAACCAAGCTGGGAATGGTTTGAATCAAGGTGGGTCATTGGCTAACGAATAGTGGCATTCTGTTAACAACAGCAATGACGACTGCTGGGGGCTGCCATTGCTAAGTAATATATGTGGCATCACATTTTATCATAGTATTGCTTAATAATGTAAATTCCATTCTCAGTTGCTATCATAAACCAAGGACTGCATACACACAGTCCATTTCTTCTTAGTTAATTATCCCATCCCAGGGCTAACAATTGCTAAAGGTGGGAGAGAGGGATAAATGTCTGTCCAGGGGAAATATCTTCTTCATGAGTCAAATTCTGGAGACTGTTCTCACCACCTGGGCTTATTGCAGCCGAAGAACCTCCCCCATGGTTTGAGTATATTTGGAGACATTTATTTAATAAACTTTCTCAAGATTTTGTTGCCATTTAGGCATCTCCTTTGGTATTTATCCTGGAAATTCTAAATTGAATACCAACACATAAATTATAAGGAGTAATTACACAATGTCATTCAAAAAAATCACACACACACAGACATGCACACACACACACACCAAGATAAGGAACTGGGAACAAAAGGTAATATTCTTTTTACATAATAAGGATTCATTAATTAAACTCTAATAAGCTGACTACCACTAAGGAAATTTTAGTGAATATCTCCTCTGAACAGAAGACTGTAGGAATCATAGCAACTTGCAAAAGCAGTATGTCTGTCAGAGCAATAGATTGGAACTGTTCTTTGAATAGATCCTCTTGATCTCCTAGGATTAGATTGCAAGGTCATTTTCAAGTCTATGATTCTTATTTTTCAAGCAAAGCAAAAGATTTCTATATACGAACTGTTTATAGCTAACATTTCTAAAAAAATAATATGAATCTGTGTTTTTATATGTGTATATATAATTGTGATGACCTGGAGCATGGCACGAAAGCAACACAACCAGAGAACAGGTCTAACTCCCCTTTATTGTTCCAATTGTCCCCACAAACATCCCCATGTTCACTACAAGTCCTGGAGCAAAGCTCTCATACACACCTTCAGAAGCCTCTGGCAGCGAGTAGTCCAGTAAGCAAGGTTAGCCACAAAGCAACCAGGGCCAACAGTCCAATAAGCCAGGTTAGCCAAACAGTAACCAGAGCAAGAAGTTCAGTGAAGGAGGCAAACCGGGCAAGCCCCACAAGACAGAATACAGCAATCTCCAGGTGTTGGCAAGTGCACCCGAGGCTCCACAGATTCAACACTTGTTCCCCCAAAAAGCCCCTCCTTACATCTCAATCCCCAGATGTGCCTTGTGGGGCACTCTCCTCCCTCGTAGCCATCTCAATTTGTGTTGATCTCGCAGTTTCTATTCCCTCCTTGTTCTAGGATCAGGAGGGGATAGTCCTTGCTCTTCTCCTGAGATCTGTCCTTCCTGCTCTCCCTGTCTGCAGGCCTTACTAATTCAGAAAAGGCTTGCCTGGACTGACTCTGCTCTTCCTCAGTTTCCTCCAAGGCTAACAGAGCCGCCTTCTCAATCTCCTTTGGCTCTTTTTCCAGCTTATCTTGACATGGGGCATCACCATAATAGGAGTTGCTATGTTTTGGAAAGAGCACAACTGGCCTTTAAGTCACCTGCTGTGGTTACATATTGGAAAATACTGGAATAAGCAAAAATTAGATGAGTCTATTTAAGTGGAGTTAGTATGAATTCTTTCTGCATTTATTTTTTCCTCTTCTAATACATTAAAAATAATATAAGGTTTTGGCAAATTTTGGCAGATTTCTGTGATGTCCACTCAAGGTTTTCAGGGATTGTAAGTGACACCCTGGGACCTCAGCTTGTGACTTCCAATATAGGGCAGATATACAATATCAAATTTTGCTTCTATAAATATTTTCTTATCCATTTATCTTGATACTACCTTATTGCACCAATAATGTTTTGTCAAAATCTACCTTTAGCACAAAAAGTGGTCTTCCCTCATATGACTTGCCAATGGAGAACATATAAATGAGATCAGAATGAGTTTTGTTCAAATAATACATCCAACTTTGAATCTGAGAAAAAAGAGAAAAAGATACATATATGTATGATTTTCTTTTGTCATTGAATAAAATAAATATAATTATATGCAATAAATACAACATAAAATAACAGTTTTAGTTTTCTGTCTCTTACTAGGTTTTCCAATATATAAATTTTAAAATCTTATATCAAAGATTAATTTTTTGTTAAAGAAAAATGTTATTTTTGCTATTTTTCTAGGTATTTCTTAAATAAGAATAAAAAACATGAGAGTGCAAAAATATATAATACATACTTCTTCCAGGGAATGATATATTTCATAACTATATTCTGGCAATGATCTACGATTCCTGGGTGGCTTTGAATCACTTTGTTTTTCTATATTTTTTTGCAAATCAGATATGAGGACTCTATCAAAAAAAAAAAGAACACTTTAAATAAATGCATGGTGTAATATAAAATAATGGAAAGTTACAGTATATAGCTAAAGTAAATATTTTAACACTATACAGACTATTTATGACATTCAATAAACCCAGGAAAATTGATTGTAAGAACATAAATATAGCATGTTGTAAAGCAAATTGGAATAAGTTTTAAAAAAAAGATAAGTTGAAAAAAACAAACCCCAAAAACCAACAAAAAACCAACAGAGAAATGTGGTTTAATTGACTGAAAAAACAAATAAAAACTAATTAACTAGCATTTAAAGGATATTTTCTTCATCTACGAATGGTAATTAAAATACATGCTCATATGAAACAATAACTACAGGACAGGATCCAATCTGGGTCGGTCACTGGGACCAGAGTTTTTGTCTTCCAATCTCTTGGACTCGTGCTGGAGCCCATCTTCACCCAGAGAGAAGTTCACTGAAGATGGACTTCAGCACTGCTGTTGAAAACAGTGAGTACTTTTGAAATTTTAAGATTACCTGGGTTGCTTGGGAAGGCTGTTTGCCAATTTATTTCCCCCCCTAAAACTTAAACAGGGATTCATAGCCTTTTCTTGAATCCTTCTATAGTCACTCCTGTTATCTTCATCAGTCAAGTAACTGGACAGGTTCATACTCATCTAGCCTGCTTGGTTTGCAGCTGACAAGTTTCATTTTTTTAAACATTTCTTTTTCTTAATATAAAAATCTGCTGGCGTTGTCAAGAAAGAAGTGCCAGCAGTGTGCCAGGAATACTTTTAAGCATCCCAGAATTAGCTGCTATGCTCAGGTTTGGCTAAAATCTTGCCAATTTCTTGTGCTCAAAGGTGATTCTTTTAGCCATGAGACCTTTAGAAAGTTTGAATATATAATGTCAAGAAAAGTACCATATTTTTCAGAGTATAAGACAAACCTTTTCCCTCAAAAGAGGCTGAAAATCTGGGTGCATTTTATACACTAAATACAGCATTTTTGGCATCCTGAAACCCCCTTCCCTTTACAAAAATGGCCGTGCATAGCGTTAAGGAGGCTTCCAGAGTGCTCCTGGGGGCTGGGGAGGGCAAAAATGAGCAAAAAACTTGCCATTTTTTGTTCAATTTCCAGCTCCCAGGAGCACTCTATAAACCTCCTAAAGGCTATGCATGCCTTTTTTTTTTGACAAAAAATGGATCCATTTTTGCAAAAAAACAAGTCATTTTTTGCTCGTTTTGCTCAATTCCCCACCCCCAGGAGCACTCTATAAGCTTCCTAAAGGCTATTCATGCCCTTTTTTGAAAAAAAAATGGACCCATTTTCTCAAAAAAGGACCATTTTTGGGAGGCCTGCAGAGTGCCAAAACTTTTTTTTTTAATTTGCTCCTTCAAAATCTTGGTGTGTCTTATAATTCAGTGCGTCTTATACTCTGAAAAATACGGTACATTAAGGAAAAGTTAAGAACCTGTATGCCAGCTTTTTGAATCAAGTAAGATTCATTTACCCATTATAATTTCCTTGACAGACAAATCCTTATCCTTTCCATCAAAAAGAGAAATTTGATAAGTGCTTGTTAAGTCATGCCACTAATTGTTATAGTGTGACAGGTGTTGGCTGGCATAGTGCACCATAATAAATATATATTCAAGCACACATAATTTAAAAACATGTGGATACTTGAAGTTACAATATGCTTGTTTGTGCTAGTGACAATTATTGCTTTTTTAACAAACAAAAGGAGGCCCTTGCACTGAGACACTAGTCTACAATATAAAGAAGACTCTATAATTAGATGCTTATCACAGGAATTCTTTCTGACTTCTCTTCAAGTAGCACTTAAAATATATTCTCAAATTATTTAATTACAAGGACATGCTAGCGTATTGATTATTGCTTCTAACAAAACTTAGGAAGAAGATTTTTAAATGTAATACAAAAGACTTTCGGCCACTAAAATCCATGCTTACGTATATTGGATGTTTGCTTGCTCTAAGGAGAACTGAAGAATCTGTGAACTATTTCTTGACAGATGTACATCTGTAACTGCACCCTTGGAGATGAGAGACAGGCTGCTTGGTTGCCACAGGTCCACCTGTAGTGCAGCAACCAACCTGTAATTCATATTTATTCAGTCTAGATTGGAAACACCCATGATATTAAGAGATCAAAGAGAGTATCCTCTTAACATTTTCAATAAATAACAGAGATTATTGCTGAATCTTTAGTAAACAATTTGCTGAGGTTTTCTGCACACCGAGAAGTACACATATTTTGAGCATTAGGGTTTGTATAACTTCATTTTCAATGGGAAAAAAACCAATCCAAATTTGAATTATTTTAACTCAGTCCTGTATCTTATTTTTTAAAAAAATACTGAAATAAATCCTGTAAATAAGCACTGCATAACATGGCTTTGTTTTAGCTTTCAAGTGTGTTTTAATCTTAGCACATCAGACTTTCCCACTTAGCAAACTCCAGGTGTGTTTGCATTGCTGGTGTAATTCTAACAACTCTTGTTCCAATACAGTTCTTTGCAAAAAAGTATGTCTTTCACCTGTGGATGATAATATTTCACAAAATATTCTGCTAGAAAGCTAGCTAGGAGATTAAAATATGACTACATATAGGTACTACTCAGTAGTAGGTACTACTCATAAAGAAAGTTGCTCAAAAAAGCAGGAGGAATACAGTTAGAGGGGTGGCTTGTCATATCACAATATAAATAGTTCAAAAACATGGTAACAATTTAGAACACAAGTAAACACAGCAGTTCTTCAGGGCCAAGTTTTCTGTTTGCCAATGTCCCAAGTGCTTTGCACCCTGCAGTAAAAATAAAAATCTGGAGAGATCAAAGCTTAATGGTAGAGTTTTAATAGTGTTTTGCATTAAAAGACTTATGCTTTAAATAAGGTGAAGACTTTATTTAGCCATGGTTCCTAGATTAGAGCAATCTAATTAGAATAACACCAGGCTAAACAGGACAAATAATCTAAGATATTTTTTTTGGGCTATGGATTCCTTTTAATCAAAGGTTGCTTGTTTTTATCATCTCTTTCAACTACCGTATTTTTCAGAGTATAAGACACACCTTTTTCCTCAAAAAAGAGGCTGAAAATCTGGGTGCGTCTTATCCACTGAATACAGCATTTTTTGCCTCCCCAAACCCCACCCCTTCACCAAAATGGCTGTGCACAGCTTGTAGGAGGCTTTCAGAGAGTTCCTGGGGGCTGGGAAGGGCAGAAATGAGCAAAAAACAGCCCAGTGTTTGCTCAATTTTGCCTCCCCCAGCCACCAGGAGTACTCTATAAGTTTCGTAAAGGCTATCCATGCCCATTTTTTGGCAAAAATGGGCCGTTTTTTTGCTCGTTTTTGCCTCCCCACCAGGAGCACTCTACAAGCCTCCTAAGGGCAATTCATGCCCTTTAAAAAAAAAAACACAGGCCCATTTTTGCAAAAAAGGGCCATTTTTGGGAGGTTTGCAGAGTGCCAAAACTTTTTTTTTAAAATTTGCCTCTTCAAAACCTTGGTGCATCTTAAACTCTGGTGTGTCTTATACTCTTTACGGTAGTTAAAGACTATAATTGGTTAACCAGAACCATAAGAATTCAAAATCCTTCAGCTTTTGGTGGTATATATTATACTAATTCTTTACACCATGTATTGAGAACCTGTAGCCCTGCAAATATTTGCAAACTGTATCTGCCAACATCCTTCATCAGCAGTCATGCTGCTTACTGCTCTTGGGAGTTGTATTTCTGTAATGTTTGTAGATCCACAACCAACCCTGCTGAAAATCTCATTTCAGATCACTTGATTTATATAGGCAAAAAACTCTACACGTCTTAGGATACAGTACATAGCAATGCAAAGCACACACTTACTTTAAGTTGTTGAGAAAGAATCTTCAATGTCTCTGCCATTTGGTCATTCTCTGGTATAATCCTTATCACCTTATGCCTGTAAAATAATATTAAAATGAAATCCTAAATAGGATACTATTTTAGCAAGAAAATAAAATACTAAAATGATGTAACCCTGGAGCAGAAATAAAATGCTTTAATCTATATTAAACTTTCTTAAACTGGTATGCTCCAGATGGCTTGATCTTCAACTACCGTAATTCCCAGCAAGCCTGATCAAAGGCAAACACTAGCATTGAATTTCAGCACATGCTGAGCAGTTCTGAAGCAGATTGAGCAATGGAAATGCTTTCTTCTGGCATGTATTATTTATTATGAAGCATTTATGCTAACCTGGATTAACTAGATCAGCTCATTTTGGCACAAGAGAGCAAGGAACAGGAAATCCAGCCTTGCTTTCAGCTGCTAGCATACTTATTTGCACTGAGCTTTTCCCTAATACAAGAATCTTTCAGCTGTGCTGTACACTTTGATGTGTTCCTTTGCTCTGATTCACTAGAATTCTCTCTTCAGCATAGCCCTTGGCTTGACTGCTACCTGCCGAAAACAGGTTGAAGAAGGCTTTCATCTGTATCTAAAAAGGAAATGCAAAGCAATAACCTCTAAAAACAATTTCAGTAACATAATGGCCATTATGTTTATACTTGATAAGCTACTCAAATGCATTATTAATAAACTACAACCCATACTAGACGGTGAACTTCAGATTTGCTATACAGGTATGCCTTTCCCCCTATATGCTCTCATACTAGAGAGCTTTGTGGTTTCTATTGATCAGAGCCCATTTCAGATATTAAAAAAAGGATTACCAACTCATGTCACATTACAACCCATGTATAATGCTGTTGCTTGTCAGCTATATTGAACACCACTATATGCATGCAAAATATTCAAAAAACTTGGTCTGAGTCTTATAATACTAAAATTTGAACTCCACAAGATTAAATGAAAATTTGAAAAAGGAGTGATATCTGTGTAGCTAACATAACCTGATGAACAAATTATTGAATTTATCTATTTTACCATTCTCTGTAAAATATATAACAAATATATTGTTTTTATTGAGGTAAAGTTACATTTCACTGTATACCTATGTATTCCTTACTTGTGCTCTATATTCCTTACCTCTGCATACTATGTTTATATTTCACAGGAGGGGTTTCTACTGATAATCATTATTAATGGATAAAGTATGTACTTGGCAAACACAAAATAATTAGAAAATCCTTCCTTCTCCAATACAGTGAATAGTTGACTATAATACTACATAATATATGGGCACAGAGCAAAATTGGATATATTCAGAAACATAAATGACAAAAAATAGTTAAAATACAGGTAGTACTTGACTTACAACAGTTCATTTAGTGATCGTTTGAAGTTTGAAAAAAGTGACATAACTATTTTTCACACTTATGACCATTGCAGCATTCCTGTGGTCATGTGATCAAAATTTGGATGCTTGGCAACTGGTTCATATTTATGATGGTTGCAATGTCCTGGGGTCATGTGATGACCTGTGGCTTTCTGACAAGCAAAGTCAATGGGGAAACCAGATCCCCTTAACAATTATGTTACTAACTTAACAATTTTAGTGATTCATCAACCACAGTGGCAACAAAGGTTGTAAAATAGGACAAAACAAATGTTTCACTTAACAACAGAAATGTTGGGCTCGATTGTGATCGTAGTCGAGGACTATCTATATATCCTGAAGCTTCAAAGTATAAACCAAACCACTATTTTGAACTTGTACAGTCTTTATATATTTCTAGTGATTTCTTTGATATAAAAGTCAGTGCACGTATAGTCTTTCATGTAACATATTTTGCATAATTAGAGCATCATACTATACAAACCCCCATTTTGAATGGTCTAGCAGCTTATAATTTTAACTATTTCACATTTTGTTGTATGCTGCCCAGAATATTTAGAATTCAATTAGTTTAACAGCTCCTGAACTGATTTATATAGATAATGGGGGTGTGGACATAAGAGAACTCTTTTTCAGTTAGATTTCAGTCCCTTTAGTTTCTGTTATACCCATTAAAGGTTCAGGCCATTTTCTTTTCGCGATTAACAGAACTGCACTACATAAAACTAAGCTATATAGCAATAGCAATAGCAATAGCAGTAGAGCAATAGCAGTAGACTTATATACCGCTTCATAGGCCTTTCAGGCCTCTCTAAGCGGTTTACAGAGAGTCAGCATATTGCCCCCAACAATCTGGGTCCTCATTTTACCCACCTCGGAAGGATGGAAGGCTGAGTCAACCCTGAGCCGGTGAGATTTGAACCGCTGACCTGCTGATCTAGCAGTAGCCTGCAGTGCTGCATTTAACCACTGCGCCACCTTGGCTCATATATATGAAGATACTGGATTTTTCAGAGTATAAGACATACCTTTTTCCCCACTAAAAGTGTGTGGAAATGTTGGTGCATCTTATACAGCCATTTTTGGCCTCAAAAGGCCTCAATTTTTGGCCCCAAGCCCCAAGCCCTGCCCCCGCATCCCATTTCTGTGAAAAAGGGGTGAAAAATGGGGGCGTTTTTGCCTTCTCCCACTCCCCAGAAGCACTCTGCAGGCTTCAGCAGGGCTGGTGGAAGGTAAAAATGGGCCTGTTTCGGTGAAAAACCAGCCCTGCTGAAGCCTGCAGAGTGCTCCTGGGGGCCTGGGAGAACAAAAACTTTCTTTTCTTACTTATCTCTTCGAAATTTTGGTGCATCTTATACGCTGGTGCGTCTTATAGTCCAAAAAATACAGTAGCTGAAAAGCCATAAGGATTAAAATTAAGGTTTGAAAAATGGCAAAATATGGCAACCAATCAGAAAATGATGGAGAATAAATAAAACATCATTTTTTTTAAAAAAAAAAAGTCAAAATAAGCATAAGGAAAATTAAGTAATACATTCTGATCAATACCATGATCAGTGCCCAAACCTTTCTTTGCCCTAATTCATGTCACAATGTAGTGTGTATGATGAGCTTTGCTTCTGAATTTTGCATACTTTTAAGGGAGCTATCTTTGAATAAAAATACTAATGATAACTCTGAAAGTCTAGAAATTATTCAAAAATAATTATTTTTCTTGTTTTTTTCACATTTCTTTTTACCACACTAAAATGAAAAACTACCTCCCCCAGTCTGGGTTAATATAGTCCCACAAACACAACTCTGCTTGCTCATTATTTTATTATTTATTCATTTATTTCTTTTTCTAGGCTTGCATGCCATACCAATGGACATTAACTCTGAACACCTGACACACCCCATTATCTCTAAATACTATTAACAAATGCAACCATCACTGCACACTTCCTCTTACACATTTGTCTCATTAGTCCTTCTGGAGCAGCCAGATTTTAAAAAGTTTCCTAAATCCCAGGAGGAGAGACCATGCTGTGCCAAAAAAAAGTAATACTAAAGGATAACATTATTTCATTAAAATGCCCGATATTACTGTATTCCATTATACTTATCCCGATAGCACAAAGGACACGTCTCTAATAGGCGAGAACTGGGTTTAAACATCAGTTATCAAATCTGAGTGATAAATTAAGGAGCAAAAACCAAGTAGATTTACCCAGCGTAGCGGTTGTCGTAAAGGTAAGTTCGTCCGGGCATCTCAGCCCGCTGCTGGACGAGGAGCAGCCCAAAGGACAGGAAAGAAAACATCGGCCGGGGAAGTTTCATAGTTGCTACCAACGCCGCCGCCGCAGGATCCCGAGAGAAAACGGGATAAAAAGACCTTCGCCTCTCTTGCGTGTAAAACGGAGCAGCTACTCCGACGGACCACCTTTGGAACTGGGAGGGAGGAGGAAGGGGTGGGAGGGAGTGGGATTCCTTCTTTTCCCGTGTGTGTGTGTGTGTCCGCGCGCGCCTGTCTGTCTGTCTGTCTGTCTGTCTTGCCGGCTGGATACTTTCAATAAATTCAATCAAAGTAATGAGAAGTTTAGAAAGGACTGTAACTCCATCATTCCCAGCTTTGATTAAGCTACGTGGCAAGGTACTCCAACAACGAACGCACCAAGCTTGTGGAAAAGGAAGGATGGGAGAGAGGGAGGGTTCTCTTAAGAGAATTTGCTTTTTTGAGTTTTGAGAATTGAACCATCAAAGTACCTTATGGTATTTAAAAGACCAGCTGGTGGTTTACCTCATAAACTTTCATGGATTATAAACTGTGGTCTTAGAAGGAAATTAAAGAGATGCAGTAATATTTTATTAATTATTTTAATTACTCTAGACATAGTGATGAATATCCCATTAATTGCCCTAGATAATGACTTTTCAGTTTGGTTTTCATGGTGTGGTTGCAGCTTTGCTTTAGATTTAGGGGAAGACTTTTCGGGAATGGTTGTAGACCTGGGGGCAAAAACAAATATATGCAATACAGGAAAAGCAGGAAAACAAATATGTGCTATTTTAAGCATGCTTATTCCAAAATACCCCCCCCCCAAGTTTTTGCATGTTATACCTATCATAAACTGAATGAAGGTTCACTTAAATGAGGAGGGGGGGTTGTTGCATGATTGCATCAAATCATTGGCTGGGCTTGCATAACACATTAGATTTGCTTGTGGCTCATGACATATTTATGGATTTTTAGAAAGCTAGTTTGTATGTGAAAGAGACTTTTACAAATTCCTAGGACATGTATACATGCAAAAGACTTCGATCTAAAACCCTGACTGTTATCAGTTGATGTACAGGAAATACAAAGCTAGATGAATTGATGGTTTGATTCAGTATAAGGTTATTTTGCAGTGTAGCAAAGATGATTAAAGAGCCTTTGTTGTGTAGTGGTTAAAGTGCAAAATGGTTATTTTTCAGAGGGCAAGAGAAGAAACAATGGATGGAAACTAGTCAAGGAGAGAAGCAACCTGGAATTAAGAATAAACTTCCTAACAATGAAGACAATTAACCAAGGGGAAAGCTTGCCTTCAGAAGTTGTGAGTGCTTCATCACTGGAGGTTTTTAAGAAGAGACTAGATAGCCTCCTGTCTGAAATGGTACAGAGCCTACTGCTTCAGCAGGAGGTTGGACTACAAGACCTCCACGGTCTCTTCCAGCTCTATTCTGATTGAAGATTCAAAGTGCAGTATTGCAGGAAAACTGCCCTCAGCCTGGAGTTCAGTCTTAATGGGGCTTGAAGTTGATTCAGTTTTTCATCCTTCCAAGGTTGGTAAAATGAGGACCCAGATTGTTGAGGGAAATATGTAAATAATGCTTCTACTTTGTAAATCAGCCAGAGAGTGCTGTAAAGTGCTAAGGGCACTATACAAACCTAAATGCTATTGTTATTCCTGTTATCCGAATCAAAGAGCAGCATAATTGTACCAGTGATTGCATAAATCATTCCATGTCTTTACAAAAAATGCAGATTATATCTATCTTCAGTAAAGACATGGTTGCTCACTCCTGTAAAAATCTGAAGATATGGGCCTTGATTTCTTTTGTATTCAGAGTAGCGTAAAATAAAGATTTCCGGATTACAAGAAAATGAAAACTTTACTATCAGACTGACATATTGCTTTCTTTTGCCATTTGACAGTTTAATTGGCAGTGCCTCATGTGATGGGTGCCTGTGTGCCGGCAGGGTTAATCCAGGGTAGCACATGTTCATGCTTTGCAAAGCCCTTATAGAGAAACAATAACAAATAGCTGGAGGCAAGTGGCCAACAAAAGAATGTGCTTTCTGTTAACAAGAACAATAAAAAATGGCATCTTGGCTTTTTTCAGTTTCCAAACAACATAATCTGGATGGCAAAACTTCTTATCTTTTTTCAGCCAACAGAGATGAAACTGTTTTTATTTATATTACACAGAGTTCATCCGTTCAGAATCTTGAAATATTGCAAAAAAGTAAGCTTAATATAACTTAGCCATGATTTAAGTAAAGATCATTTCTCTTACCCTAGTACTGAAGTCGGCTGTTCCTTTAGTGGGGGGGGGGGGATAAAAACAACTTCCAAGCAAATAGGACATTAAATGAAATGGGAGTTAACAGTCCTTAGCCAATTTGTATGGGGTTAACTATTTCCCAGGATTACTATTATATATGAGAATAGAAAATTTTCTGCAATAGGTGTTCTCAAATGGTGTATTACTCATAAGGAAGGCTGAAGTGCCAAAGAAATGATGTTTTTGAATTGTGGTATTGGAGAAGACTCTTGAGAGCCCCTTGGACTGCAAGGAGATCAAATCAAGTCAATCTTTAAGGTAATCAACCTTCACTACTTCTTTGGAAGGACAGATGTTAAAGCTGAAGCTCAAATATTTTGGTCAACCAATGAGAAGAGAATACTTATTGGAAAAGACCCTGATATTGGGAAAGATTGAAAGCAAAAGAAGAGGAGCACTTTAGTGTAATTTACATGGAACAATAGGTATTTTGGGCATGTTTTTTGGGGAATAAGTCCAATAATTTGTTGGACTGCCTCTCTTTAAGGACATCTGCCCATCCTACCAGGACATCTGCCCATAGGGCAGCATGCTTCTAGTCTCCTCCCTTTAATGTTGTCATCTTATGGGACTCAATAAGCATGCCTTTTTTGTGGCAACTCTGCCCTATGGAACACTCCTTCCCTGACGTTCGTCAGCCCCCCCCCCACTTTTAACCTTTCAAAAGGCACTCAAGACCTGACTTTTCCCTCAAGTGCTGGGATAGAGTAAGATTAATTTATTGTGGATTGCATGGGTAAATTTAGCTATGGTGCCAGATCTTTTAGTTTTAATATTTTTATTGTAAATAGATGTTTATTTTTTGATTGCACACAGCCCAGAATTTGGTACAAGATGGGCAGCTGTATAAAATAAAATGAAATGCAGAATAAATAGTAGATAGTGAATTTCAAATTAAGCTATGGATTAGAAAGACAAGTACAGTGCCCCTTCTGTGGCCTAAATTTAATTGGAGTTTAGTGAAATTATTGATTCAAAATATTATTCTTGTTTCAATTATATGGGGATAATATAATTGATGTACCTTTCAGATTTATTTAACTTTTTCCCATTTAAAATATTTATTACAGAAAAATCAATAAGGGACATTTGTAGGAAGAGCAGTTTGGTGTAATGATTAAGACACCAGGCTAGTAACTGGGAGATGTAAGAGTTCTAGGTTCAACTTAGAAACCAGCTGAGTTTCTAAGGATAAGTTATTCACCCTCAGTCTTGAAAGAAATAATTGACAAACCAGTTTTGAGAATCATGCCAAGAAAATTATTCTAGGCAGTTGCCAGGCATCAGCATTGAGTCACAGGTGTGTACATGTGTGCTTGCTCATGCACGCACACAAACACACACACACACAGAGGAACAAAGATTCATTTATAGGACAATGTTATAGGACATGTCTTCTAGCAACAGATCAGCCAGTTGCTGATCTTGGCACATGTTTTTTTAATAGTAAATGTAGTTAATAGTATTTCGGAATCAATCAATTTTTCTCTTTTTCTCATTTGAATTTAAGATAAACTATTAATTCCATTTTAACTATTATTTAGTACAATGTAGTTTTTTTAGCTAACCAAATTCTAACTAAATTTTAGAATTTAGTTGCTAAATTCTATGCATGAATGCAGTTAAGATACAATAAATTGACAGCACATGCCACATTTTATCACAATTGAAGCAAAGGTGTAATGTAAAAACAAGGGGATATAATTCATTGTTCCTCTTTTGCTGACAATTGGCTTTCATTGTTGAAAATCATGAGAGGCTACTGGTCTTCTATATGAAGTCCTATGAATATCTTTAAAATATTATTTGATATGCCCAAGCAAGGATAGAAAAAAAAACCCTTCTCTTTTACTAAGCAGTGGTTTATTGCTCATTATTGAATTATATCCAGTAGCAGATTATGAGCAAGTTTTCTCTAATTTCAGAAGCATGAAATTAGAATCAAGTTAGAAACTGTAATTTTCTGCAATCTAGTGTCAGAAAAAAAGCTCTTGGGTTTTCACAATTAATTGAGTTCATATTCAATTGTACCCATCAATAAACTTGTTTAGGGGAAACACTTCACCCCAGCCATCAATTTAAGTAAACTGTTGATTAAATGAACCATTTGTGAGAAACCATGTGAAAAATAACAAGCTTTTAAGAATATTTTTTTTATAAAGGTCCCAGTTTCTGACTCCTGTTTTTAAATACAAGGTTGGTCTGTAATAAGGCCTCAGATTCATCTTGTGTGCAACTTGCACCCATTTCCAGACTGGGAGGCGTAGGAGGAGGAGCCCCCAAATTGCACATCGACCGTGATCATAGAGATGCTGTGATTAATGTGGGCCATGTAGGTCATTTTTTCAGCACTATTTAACATCAAAAAGTCATTAAATGAATGGTTCTAAGTCAAGGATTTCCTTTATATAAAGATTCATGGATTGTTTAATCCCTTTGAATTATTTATTTAGTGTATGATGAGAACATGACAGAAGGGAAGTAAACATCCAACTGGGTGTCCAATTCAGTTATCCTGGTGATCGCCTCTGGCTTCATGCAGATCTTCCAGGGTTGTGATGGAGAACCTATGGTGAGCCCTCTCTGTGGCCACACCATCCGTCGCCCCAGCCCAGCTCCACTGAGCATGCTCATGCACCTCCCACTGGCCACCTGGTCTTTCGGTCTCTGCCATGCATGCACAGGATGCATGCAGGGGACGCACACACACATATGCATGGGGGCACTCGCATTGCATTTTGGGGCATCACACAGCACCCCCATGCCCCATTTTGGCTTCCAGGTTGGTGCAGGAGGCCTTCCAGGCCCAAAATGGGGTGCAT